GTCATCAGACACAGATGAGGACAAGCTAATGGTTGGGAGTTTTGACAGTGATGAAGAGTTGTATGAATTTTATGATGAATAAAACTTGAGTTCAATAACTTCATGTAGTACTTTTTTTTCAAATTTCAGGCCCCAAAATCAAGGTGCGTCTTATACATGGGGGGATACAATACTATAGATAATTACACCAAGACCAGTGTTTTTATTGTGTTTAGTGAAATATACAGAAAACCTACACAGAATCTGGGATTTTTAAATCTTGAAACTTTCTGGTCTACCATTTAGAGTATATGTAAGAGTTTAAAATCTCAAAATTTCTCCTGCAGAAAATCATCCAACCTGTGGAAATATACCTATGTAGGAAAAGACAGTTTACAGAAACTCAGCACAGTAATATATAATCCTAAAATGTGTACAGAAATGATCTTCTATTACCTGAGCAACATCCTCAAGTTTATTCCACTTAATCGACAGTAATAATTTTGGCAGTGACTGTGGGAAATTCTCTCTGCAGTCTTGTCGCAAAGTCCAAATAAGATCCATTTCATTCTCACATAGTTGAGACAAGGGATCCCTGTCCAAGATTTCCTTCAGTACAGCAAGAAATTTTTTTCCACCCCGACTCTAAGAAGTAAAATTACTCATTAGAGAACTGAATTGTGCAAACATCCTTGGCAAACACTTAGCAAATTTATATGCAATGAATTTATAAACAAATTATAGCTTTCACATGTGAAATACTAAAAATCTACTTCTTCAAAAAGATTAATAAAGATGGATACCATTTTAAAGTTTTTATTGCCAAGTATAACATTTGTAAGCTAAGGATGAAGGAAAGAATTATTCTCAAACGGTTCTGAAAAAGGAAAAATACTGTTACAAATCCACGTGCAAACACTAGGTGGCAGAATTACGGTATGAATTGAAAAGAAGTCACTTATTATGAATTAAATTTCCTTCTTTAATTTTCAGTTTCTATTAAACACAAACAAATAGACAGAAAAAATGAACCAAACATAAGAAGTTTTTTAAAAAGCAATAGGTGCCATCTTGGCTTAGAGGAATAAACCACTTAGACAAAAACTGAATTTCGGCTAAACATGAGAAAAATACAATTATCCCATTTTCCTTCCCAATCCTTATAAGAATATACTAAAATAAAGAAAAAGATTCATGTTATTTTTTGGATCTAGACTCTAAATTGCACTAACATTAAAAGAAAGAGGTGTATTTCCCTCTACTTAAAGAAAAACTATACCAGTTAGGCCAAAACAGTAAAAACAAAAAAAGCCTCTCCAGAATTATGTGACAAGATTCAGTAAGGATTTATATTCTATTATTATATTACTTTGAACATGACATTATTTTAACTAGGATTTGATATAAACATTAAAATAAATTACAAAGTCATATTACTAATTTATAAAGTGAGATTCAAAATAGTGTACGCCAATGTAAAAAAGAATGGGAATAATGCGACTGTCTAGGCAGAATATCTGAAAGACTTAACAAAAACACTACTGGAACTAATAAGCAACTGAAGCAAGGTTTCAGATTACAAGGTCAACATACAAAAGTAAACTGCTTTCATATACATCAGAAACAAACAACTGGAATTTTAAATTAAAAACACAATTCCACATTAGCATCCCAAAATATGAAAACTTAGGTATAAAACTAACAAAACATGTACAAGCTCTATATGAAAACAACTGAAGAACTCTGATGAATGAAATCAGAGAAGAACTAAATAAATGGCGAAGTATCCCATGTTCATGGATAGGAAGGCTCAATATTATCAAAATGTCAGTTCTTCCCAACTTAATGAATAGATTCAATGCAAAACCAACCAAAATCTCAGTAAGTTATTTTGTGGATATCAACAAACTAATTCTAAAGTTTATATGGAAAAACAAAAGACTCAGAATAGCCAACACAATATCAAAGAAGAACAAAGTTGAAAGACTGACACTACCCAACTTATATAAAAATAAATGTGAAATGTTAAAACCATAAAATTAATAGAAGATAATATAGGAGAAAACCTAGATGACCTTGAATTTGGCAATGACTTTTTGCATATAACACCAAATGCCTGATCCTACAAAGAAAAAATTGGTAAGCTAGGCTTTGTTAAATTTAAAATTATTGGCTCTGTGAAAGACACTGCCAACAAAATGAAAAAACAAGCCACATACTGGGAGAAAATATTTGCAAAAAACCCCCCACAACATATAGATAGATAGATAGATAGATAGATAGATAGATAGATAGATAGATAGATAGATATAGATATTATATAGATATATATATATATGTATACATATCTCTGATAAAGGACTGTTATCCAAAATGTATAAAGAACTGCTAAAACTCAACAATAAGAAAATAAACGACCAGACTAAAATATGGGTCAAAACCTGAATAGACACCTCACCAAATAAGATATATAAATGGCAAATAAGCATATGAAAAGATGCTTAATATTGTATGTCATCAGGGAAATGGAAATTAAAACAAAAATGAGATACAACTGCACAGCTATTAGAATGGCTAACATTCAGAACACTGAAAACACCAAATGCTGTTGAGGACATACAGCAACTCTCATTCACTACTGATAGCAATGCAAACTACTACAACCACTTAGGAAGACAGTTTGGCAGTTTCTTACAAAACTAAACATACTGTTACTATGCAATCCAGTAATCACACTCATTGGTATTTACCAAAAGAAACTGAAATCTTATGTTCACACAAAAACCTGCACATGGATGTTTATATAGCAGATTTATTCAAAACTGCCAAAACCCAAAGCACCAAGATGTTCTTCAGTAGGTAAATCAATAAACTGTAATACATATAGATAACGGAATATTATGTAGTACTAAAAGGAAATGAGCTATCAAGCTATGAAAAGACATGAAGGAAACTTAAATGCATATTACTAAGTGAAAGAAGCCAATCTGAGAAGCTACACACTAATTCCAACTTTATGATATCTGGAAAAAACAAAACTATATTTTAAGCAAACTAAAATATAGTTTTTTAAAAAATCAGTGGTTACCAGGGGTAGGGGTTGAATGAGAATTTATAGGCAGAACATGGAGGGGTTTGCAGAGCAGTGAAAATACGCTATATGATAATTATAATGATGGTTTATGTCATTATACATTTGTCTACACCCATAGAATGTGCAATACCAAGAGTGACCCCTAAGGTAAACTATGGACTGTGTGATTATGATGTGTCAATGTAGATTCAGTCTTGGTAACAAATGTACCATTCTAGTGAGTGATATTGATAATAGGGGAGGCTATGCATACGTGGGGGCAGGGGGTATATGGAAAATCTCTGTACCTTCCTCCCAATTTTGTTGTGAACCTAAAACTGTTCTTTTAAAATCTTATTATAAAAAAAGCACCATACAATGCCTCTATGTATGATTATACTGGTTTTATATTCAGAGCCCCAGCTTAAAAAGGGTATGCTCTATTTTACAAGCTTGACTTGGGTTTCTCTGAAAAGTGATCATGAGAAGTCAGAATTTGAAAATAAAATTCTTACATTTAGATCTTAAAGTGAAACTGGTTACTGCAAACAACACAATATAAACTGTTCATGTCACAGAAAGGCAGGCTGCTGTTAAGTTAAATATTGCAAAAAGTGAGCAGACCTACTATAATTTCGTGGATCAAAATCAGACTTTACAGACCCCCTGTAAGTAAATATCCCAAAGAGCTACAAGTAAACTAAGAGGGGAGCGCAGGCGGTTAGCTGTATAATTGAACTGTGATTGTTTATTGAGCTATAAAAAGCATAGTACTGAACGTCAAGGTAAAAACAACCAACTACCAGAAATGTGGCAGGAATCCAAAAAAAAAACACAAAATCTTACTTTCTTTTACAAAAGCCAAGACAATCAGTACTGAAAATTATATTGTACAATTAAATGGTGACGTTAGACACATGTTCAAATGCTAAAATAATGGAAAACAGTGGTTGAAAGCAAGGAAAATTAACACCCATATTCTCTATTTTTCTTTATGTTTCGATTTTTCAAAATCATACAAATACTATAATAGTGACTACTGACCAAAATAAAACAAAACAAAACATATAGGGCCGGCCGAGTGGCGCATTGGTTAAGAGCTGGCTTGAGACGCCTGAAGGCCCCGGTTCAGATCCCACATATGAGGGCCAGTGACACTGCCCTCCACAGCTAAGATGTTGAACAGCAGCTCAACCTGGAGATGGGCTGCCTGAAGGCCCCGGTTCAGATCCCACATATGAGGGCCAGTGACACTGCCCTCCACAGCTAAGATGTTGAACAACAGCTCAACCTGGAGATGGGCTGCCTTAAGTTGCCGGCGACTACGTGGCCTGCAGTCCCTGCTGCAGTGGGTTGCCATGGGCTACCGTGTGTAGCCAGCAGCCAGTGTGAGCGGCCAGCAGCCGCTGTGAGCGGCGGTCCAGAAGCCGGTGACTGATCTGCCTCGCCCGGGAAGAACGCAATGATGGTGCCAACTTGGGCCAGTGAAGCGACGTCCTTCACAACTAGACTGAAGAACAAAAGGACAGCAACTTNAAAAAAAAAAAAGAAAAGCTAGCACACATATATGTATAGTACATAAACAGCCATACACTTGTCTATGGTATCAAAATCTCATGAGGATGGGGCTACTAGGGGGAAAAAATGTCTAAAAAGGAGGCTCCTAAGGAGTGCAATAATGAAAGAAGTTTGAGAAATACTGGTTTAAAGATATGAAACACGCACCTCATCTCACTTTTTATCACTGATGGGGGCCCCTCCACCCTTTCCCCAAGGCCCTAGTGGACCAGCAGTCATGATTATGGATAGAGGAATTGGGGAGACCATTTCTTGAGGGTCTAAAACAATAGTAAAAAAACTTTTAGCATATATTGCTCCACTAAACAATACTGCAAAGGATAGATAGCATTCTGTAATACTAGAGGTTCAACTATGTTATGGGTTAAAAACAGCCGTACTACTGGAAAGTAATTAACCTTTGGTAAGATTATTTACAATTATTAAAAAATAAATTATATAAACATAAAATTAAATAGATTACCAAAACCATCACTTTAGTTTGGGGAAACCTATGGAAGCAAATAGGGAAGGGAAATCTGACTCAGCCATATAATGAAAACGATGACTAATTAATTACCTACTTCCTGCAAAGACTACCGAAACCCCTTCTGCATTATGCCAGAGAATGTTCTCCTGTGCATTAATGGGAGGCTACTCTTCTACAGAATTTTCACCAACGGCTTACACCTACTGAATTAAGAGTACAAACTACACCAGACTTCTGGCTCTCCACTTCTCAAGATTATCGATCTACTGAAAACAAAGTTTATGTTCTTTTGTACAAGTTCACTGTAACTGGCAATGGGGACAGGGTCAGAGGAGAAACCAAGCCACATTACTTTTTATTCCGTTAACTTTTTTCTATTAAAAAAGATTAGGATTGTGAAATTCATATTTTCCTACACTTGTTTACACACATTTGGGTGTTTCTACTTGACTATTAAGTCACACTACTAGGTTTCTTCTACTAAAAAGGAGGAGGTTAAGTTATATCTGAAAACAATGCTTTAGA